AGGCGACTTTTATATAGGGAATAGTGTGCCGAGGGTTGAACATGTGTACTCATACAGGTTTGACTATATTGCCATTCCTGATGGCAATATACAACCCATCCTGGACAATGATCCCTCACTTTCACAGACCTTGGGAGGCAGGCCAGTCCTCGCCCACAGACAACCTGCCAACCTTAAGCATATTCTCACCAGCAACCACGCACCGCATCATAACAGCTCTCACTCAGGAACCAACCCATGCAACAAACCTCGATGCCAACTCTGCCCACATATCTACACCAGCAACACCATCACTGGACCTAACCAGATCAGCTACAACATCACCGGCTCATTCACCTGCACGTCCACCAATGTTATATATGCCATCATATGCCAGCCCTGATACCATCTACTATCACAAATCTGTTCCCTATGTAGGTACTTATAGACAACGACCAAGTCACCTCTTAACCTTCTCTTAGATAAACTTCATAGATTGAGCTTCTTTCGTTTCCCGCTATAAGGCAGGTTTAGGTTTGCCAGACCTCAAATAATTTGTGTAGCTCTTTTCTGAGCCCTTTCCACTTGCCAGCATATTTTCTGAAGTGCAGACAATAGAACTGGACAAAGTATCCAATAATGGTATCACCAACCTTTTGGGGAAAGAAGGACCCTATACAGGAAGAAAGGGCTCCATCTAATCCAAAATGGACCTAGATTGTAAAATTAAATAGGTCACAGAGGAGTATTTAAACTAAAGGCTGGGGAAAATCTGGCAGGTGCGGAAATGCACGTGGTTTGGACAGATGTCTCTTAGGGAGGATTTATTAAAGGGGATACTTTATATCATAGTAAAGAGAAGAGGATAGAAGTCAAGGAGAGGCTGAGGGAGCTCGGCTTATTTAGTCTGCAGAAGAGAAGAGTGAGGGGGGATTTGATAGCAGCCTTCAAGTACCTGAAGGGGGGTTCCAAAGAGGATGGAGCGAGGCTGTTCAGTGGTAGCAGATGACAGAACAAGGAGCAATGGTCTCAAGTTGCAGTGGGGGAGGTCTAGGTTGGATGTTAGGAAAAGCTTTTTCACTAGGAGGGTGGTGAAGCACTGGAATGGGTTACGTAGGGAGGTGGTGGAATCTCCTTCCTTAGAGGTTTTTAAGGCTCGGCTTGACAAAGCCCTGGCTGGGATGATTTAGTTGGTGTTGGTCCTGCTTTGAGCAGGGGGTTGGACTAGATGACCTCCTGAGGTCTCTTCCAACACTAATCTTCTATGATTCTATGATAAAGAACAGGTAGGAACAGAAAAGAAACAGTCAAAAGAAAAAGATTCCCATTCAATTACATCACATGAAGGCAGACAACTAAGTATTGACAAATTTTATAAGTGGTTGCATACAAATGCAAGAAGTCTAAATACTAAGATGGGTGAACTTGAATGCCTGTTATTAAATGGGAATACTGATATAATAGGTAAGGCTATGATTATGTCATGGAGGTCACGGAAGTCATGGAATCTGTGACTTCCACTGACTTCCGTGACATTTTCTGCTCTGGGGCTGGAGCTCCCAGCCAGCCCCACTCTCACAGTTCCCAGCTCCCAACCTGGTGGGGGGACCCCACACACCTGCCCAGCTGTGGCAGGAAGGCAGCGGGACCCTGCGCAGCTGCCCAGCTGCGGCGGGCGGGCGACGGGACCCAGCTAGAGCTGGAACCCACAAGGGAGAGGCAATTCTTGATTTAGTCCTAAGTGGCACACAGGATCTGGTCCAAGAGATGACTACAGCTGAATCACTGGGTTCATACCTGAGCCATTCTTTTTAGGTGACAAATCTGATGAACTGCCCCATGTTGAGGAGATTTTGGAACAAACTGATAAATTAAACAGTACTAAGTCACCAGGACCAGATGGTATTTACCCAGGAGTTCTGAAGGAACTCAAATATGAAACTGAAGAACTAGGAGGAGAAGGAGCAACTGAGGTTATCCACGAAGGAGTTGCTCATGCCAGGAAGGTGCACAGCATGGAGAGTGATGCTGTGTTTGAGGCACCAATTCCAAAGGAGAATGGCCTCCACATAGAGGAAAAGGGAGCAGGCCCTGCCCTGTTTGTTGATATATAGGACCGTCGCCATGTTGTTGGACAGCAGTTGGACATGGCGGGAGTGGAGGAATAGTAGAAGTGCACGGCAGGCTAGGCGGATGGCTCGGAGTTCAAGAACACTGATGTGCATTCTGGCTACCTTGGGTAACCAGAGGCCCTGGGCCATCTGGCCCCCCATATGTGGTCCCCATCCTGCCAGGGAGACAACTGTGGTCAGGGTGGTGCATGGCACCGGAGGTGTGAAAGGGATGCACCACCACGTGAGGGAGGCCAGGATGGAAGTGGGGGAAAAGGACCAGCTTGGAGAGAGGGTCCCTCTGTGTGTTGTAAGTCAAGCGGAGCCAGAGCTGGAGCCAGCGCATGTGAAGGCGTGTGAAGGATGTCACCGTAGTGCAGGTCACCACGTGGCCAAGGAGCGAGAGGCACTGTCGGATGCACGTGTGAGGTCAATGGCAAATGAGTACAATGAGAGTGGTGAGGGCAGCGAAACAGTCTGACTGTTGAAAGGCATGGGCCGTGATAAGAGTTGAGACTTGCCCCATGAAGATGAGGTTGTGAGTGGGAGTATTGATTTGTCTTCGTTGATGTAGATGCCGAGCTCGTCCAGTTTGGATAGTGGCAAGGAGACGAGTGCAGGAGAGTGCAACGAGAAGCCAGTCGTCGAGATAGGGAGAGAGGGAATGTCCCAGGAGGCACATATATGATGCTACGATGGCGAAGACCTTGGTAAAGACTTGGGGGGGCAGTAGCTATGGGAAGGGCTCTGAACTGGTAGTGTGAAACGCCTACCATGAAGTGGAGAAATTTACGGTGGGCAGGATGACTGTCGATATGAAAATAGGTATCCTTCATATCAAAAGCTGTGAACCAGGCTGCCTTGGGAAGACACAGAAGTATCAGGGGAAGAACTAGATAAGTTCATGGAGGCTGGGTCCATCAATGGTTATTAGCCAGGATGGGCAGGGATGGTGTCCCTAGCCTCTCTTTGCCAGAAGCGGGGAATGGGAGACAGGGAATGGATCATTTGATGATTGTGTGTTCTGTTCATCTGTTCATTCCCTCTGGGACACATGGCATTGGCCACTGTTGGAAGACAGGATACTGGACTAGATGGAGCTTTGGTCTGACCCAGTATGGCCGTTCTTGTGTGTCCATCCGGAAGCGGAAATTGCGGCTAAATCTATTGAGTAAGCAGAGCTCCAGAATAAAGCTGCGTGACAGAGCTTCTTCTCCACCTCGGTGGGTTCTGCGCTTCCATTTAGCAGCGGGCTGGGGTATTCCTCTTTCCCTCTGAATTTTCCCCATGCCCCTGGGCTTGCTGTCCACACCCTGCCAGAGAAGGGTTCCCCCCTGGACTCCTTGATGGGAGGAGGGGAAAGGGAGCCTCTCGGTTTCTGGTAGCCCCTGAGGGCATGGTGGCAACAGACCAGACACCGGATTCAGTCTGTCCCCTCTGGCAGAGTCTCTTCCCTCAGACCTCGGGGGCCCAGAAGGGCTGTCCACCCCATTGGGTAGGGATTCTCCCGCCCTTCACCTCTGGTACCTGCATGATTTCTTTCCTGGTGCTTGTCAGCATCTGCACCACCCAGCTGTCCAGTAGCTTGCCTTCCTCCCATAGCTCCTATCGCGCACCCCTATCTGGCTGGAGGAGAGGCTCTTAACAGGTTCTGGCAGGCCCTTGATAGGTTAATTAGGACACCTGGGGTCAATCAGTTGGCGGCTCCCTCACGGAGCCGTGAGCACAGGTGTGTACTTGGTGCGGATCACCCCCGTCCCGGACACCTGCCCCTTCTGAGGCACTCAAAGAAGAATAGATGTTTCAGAATAAGATGCAACCCCTCTCCCCGCACACACATAATATAGTCAATCAGAGCCCTGCTGCACTAGATTCAAATCACCCTTTTAGCCCAGAAAATTATGACCATTTTAAAATCCATCCCCATACATGTGGCTCCATGCTAGAGGGAGTGAAGAAGTGAAGCAGCTCATTTGTTTCACTAAGTGAATGACCCTTTGCTTAGGTCAGGGTCTTCACCATGAGCCTCAGGGAGACACCACACATCAACTGGCAGTTTGTTCTGCCATGTGGGGTTTTAGATATGCTGGCTTCTCATACCTATCCCTCACCCTCCCAGATATGCCCAGCTATCTGTTCAGCATGGCATTTCAAGAATGCTCAATGCTGAATGTCCCACCAGCAGCAGGAGCAGAGCTGGGAAGCAGCAGAGACAAAAGAGATGCAAATATTTATCTCTGTAGACTCTCTGCTGTGATGTCCTCTGCAGCAGGTTAGAGCCCGGTGCTGTTATTAAACCCATATTGCAGGATGAAAACTGAGCTGCAGAAAGGCAGAACTGACCTCTGTTATGATAGCTTTTTGCTCCTTGACTCTCCTGGCCTCCTCAGGATATTGTTCCAGGCTGAAGACTTTGGAAAGGGGCAGGGGTTTTCCACTGCGGCACAGAATGGCTTGGCATGTGCCCACATTGGCCAATGTCAGAGTGAAGCTGCCAGCCAGATCAGTAGCATCATGTCGAATATAGCAGAGGACAGCAGAGGAGCCCAGCTTCTGGCCAGCCATCCCCAGCTTCCTATTGGAAGGAAGAGACAATATGAAAAGAACACAGCTTCCAATGACAGGTACTTAACAAACAGGCTCTTGCCTCTCCTTCATACAGAGTGCTAGGTATCAGAGTGATGTATATACCCATGACCCCAAGACCTACCCATTGGGAGGGATGCAGCTGAACACACTGCAGAGACCATCCACACTCGATCCTGCATCAACAAGTGAGATTCCCTCTCTCCCATCGATGCAAGACGGCCCCCTCTCCCTCAACAAACCAGCTACCCCCTCACATTTCTCACCCTACAGGAACAAACAAATCCTTGCTCACAGGTGCAGCCTCCCTACCCTGCATTGGGAGAGGATCTCTCCTGTGCCCTTCTCACATCTCCATGCATCAGTCTGACCAGTTTTAACAGGTGCCCCCAGCACCTGCTGGCCTACCTGTGGGAGACCAGGAAGGTGTTAGACATGAACACAGAGTCTATGTTCGACTGCTGCACCTCCTCCAGTAGCACGTCTGCCATAGTGCACTGCAGGAGACGGGGCAGCTCCTCATTCTTGTCACCGTCGAACATGCCGTACACAGCTTCCACACTGTCTGCAAAGCTCCCCAGAGCCAGGGCCGACACACAGAGCCTATAGGGGGAGGGTAAAAGCAACTTGAATCTATTTGGGGTATTTATATGGCCTCATGACGATAGTATCTGAGTGACTCACAATCTCAAAAATATTTCTCCTCACATACCCCTGTGAAGTAGGGCAGTGCTATTATCTCATTGTACATATTGGGAACTGAGGCAAAGAGAGGCTAAATGACCTACCCAAGGTCACATACAAAGTGTGCAATCAGCAAAGAGTCCTGTGGCACCTTATAGACTAACAGACGTATAGGAGCATGAGCTTTCGTGGGTGAATATCCACTTCTTCGGCTGCACGTATTCACCCACGAAAGCTCATGCTCCTATACGTCTGTTAGTCTATAAGGTGCCACAGGACTCTTTGCTGCTTTTACAGATCCAGACTAACACAGCTACCCCTTTGATAAAGTGTGCAATGGAACTGGAACATAAATTCAGGTTTCTCAAGTCCAAGGCTAGTGCCTGGACCAATGGGGTCATCTTTCCTCGCCAGCACAGGAGGAACATGCAGGGCCTGCATGGGAAGTGCAGAGGTAGTTCTACCTAGTGGTTTCTGCGCGCGCACACACACACACACACACACACAGAGCAAAGGCAGCTCTACCCAAGGATGGGGGGCAGAGACCCTCAGTGTCCCAGAGCGTGTGGACTTTAGTCAAGGAAGGGAGTGGGGAAGGAAGGCCCCAGTTGCCAGGAGAAGGCAAATGATCCAGGAAGCCACAGAAGGCTGGCTAGCTCCTGGGGACAGCAGGGTTTGATTGGTGGCTGGATGGTCATTCAGCATTGTATGCTGCCCCGTGCCCCAGAACAGAGTGGGTGTCTCAGGATCCATGTGTGAGCCCCACATCAGGCAATAATACTCACTTATTCCTCTGGCCAGCCATCTCGGCTAACCCGTGATTCCAGAGCGTAGAGGAGAGTACTGAGTCTGCTGTGAGGGAGGGCTTGGCATCAATCTTCAGGGTGGCAATGTGACTGCAGAGAGAGCACCACAAAGGTCATTCTGCTCCCACATAATGCACAACAGCCTGGGGCATCTCCACATAAGCATTAGGGTTAAAGGCCAGTTCACCCTACCAATCTAGAGTTCCTAGAAAGCAGCCCCTTGGAAGAAGCTGAGACCAGGAAAGGAGATTAAGGACGAAGCCTTCCATGGGCTGTTGTTATGTATCTACAAGGTGCCAACCAAGAGATTCTTTGCCTGACTGTTCTATGTTGGTGTAGAGCCAGAATCTGCATTTTGACTGCTGCAAGACAGACAGCATTAGTCGGTCATGGATGAATGATTGTGGGAAGGGGATGTCAACGACTTTTGCTGTGCTCAGTGACCCAATCAACACATTACCTTCCACCTCTGGTACATGCTTCATAGATAAAAATGTACACCTTAGTTGCAGTCTGAATTTGTCTAGCTTCAACTTTCAACCACTGGATCTTGTTATATATTTGTCTACTAGACTGAAGAGCTTATTATCAAATTTGTGTTCCTTGTGAAGGTACTTAGAGACTGATCAAATCACCCTTAACCTTCTCTTTGTTAAGCTAAATAGATTTAGCTCCTTGAGTCTATCTAATCCTTTAATCATCTCATGGCTCTTCTCTGAACCCTCTCTAATTTATCAACATCCTTCTTTAGTTGTGGACACCCGAACTGGACATTATTGCCGAAGAGATCGCATCAGTGCAAAATACAGAGGTAAAACAACCTCCCTACTCCTACTTGAGGTTCCTGTTTATAGAACCAAGGATCGCATTAGCCCTTTTTGGACACAGAATCGTATTGGGAACTCATGTTCAGTTGCTTATCCACCATGATCCTTCAAGTCTTTTTCAGAGTCATGGCTTCCCAGGACAGAGTTCCCCATCTTGCGTGGATGGCCTGCATTCTGTGTTCCTAGACATATGACTTTACATTTGTCTGTATTAAAATGCATCTTGTGAGCTTATGCCCAGTCTGATAAGCCCTTCCCAGAGAGCTTCTTGCTTCATTGGCCTGGCAGCCCCACAACTCACCTGAAGATGTCCAGGGTCTTGTGTTCTAGCACCAGGTTCATGTTTCCAGTCAGGTCCAGCTCCTGCAAGGTAGCTGGCAGCACCTCAGGGATCACGATTTCTGTTAGTTCATTACAGCTCAAGTCTACAAACTGCAGAACAGAGAAAACATAACAGAGAGGGATCCCTTCCTGCAACCCCCCAAGGGCTCCGTCACTATATTTCCCCTCCATGCCTCTTTTCACCCCCCCTTCCAGCACCCCATCGCTATATTCCCCACCCCATTTTGGATCTCTCTCCAACCCCCAGAGGCCCTGCTGCTATAGCCTCAACTCCTTATTATAAGGGGAGTGCAATATCTTCAGGGAGACAGCCTCTCTCAGTTCTGGGTCACAGATCACTAGTTATTTGCCTTAGTGGTTTCTAAGTCTCTTTACCACTGGTAGGTCAGGCCTGTCAGTTCCATTTTCATGACACATTTCTGGGATCTAATTGGCAGTGGGGTGGGGAATGTAGTGATGGAACCCACCACCAAGTGCAGATCAGCAATGGGATGGAGTTGGAAATACACAGGCCAGTAAGCCTCACTTTAGTACCGGGCAAATTGGTTGAAACTATCGTAAAGAACAAAATTGTCAGACACATAGATGAACATAATTTGTTGGGAAATAGTCAACATGGTTTCTGTAAAGGGAAATCATGTCTCACCAATCTACTAGAATTCTTTGAGGGAGTCAACAAGCATGTGGACAAAAGAGATCCAGTGGATATAGTGTATTTAGATTTTCAGAAAGCCTTTGACAAGGTCCCTCACCAAAAGCTCTTAAGCAAAATAAGCAGTCATGGGATAAGAGGGAAGGTTCTCTCATGGATTGGTAACTGGTTAAAAGATAGGAAACAAAGAGTAGGAATAAATGGTCAGTTTTCAGAATGGAGAGAGGTAAATAGTGGTGTCCCCCAAGGATCTGTACTGGGCCCAGTCCTATTTAACATATTCATAAACCATCTGGAAAAAGGGGTAAACAGAGAGGTGGCAAAATTTGCAGATGATACAAAACTACTCGAGATAGTTAAGTCCCAGACAGACTGCAAAGAGCTACAAAAGGATCTCACAAAACTGGACGACTGGGCAACAAAATGGCAGATGAAATTTAATGTTGATAAATGCAAAGTAATGCACATTGGAAAACATAATCCTAACTATACATATACAATGATGGGGTCTAAATTAGCTGTTACCACTCAAGAAAGAGATCTTGGAGTCATTGTGGATAGTTCTCTGAAATCATCCACTCAATGTGCAGTGGCAGTCAAAAAAGTGAACACAATGTTGGGAATCATCAAGAAAGGGATAGATAATAAGACAGAAAATATCATACTGCCTCTAAATAAATCGATGGTACCCCCGCATCACTGTCTGTTCATTCCCTTGGGGCCCCCTGCCATTGGCCACGGTCAGAGGACAGGATACTGGGCTTGATGGACCTGTGGTCTAACCCA